ACTCTAACAACAAACACTTTTTTTGAACTCACACAAATACTCAAACTCCTCAAAATACTCGTAAAGCTTAAAAGATAAATAATAAAAGTTGCCTAAGAGTAATTTTAAATGCGTTTCAGTGGCCAAAATTTGAATGTGGGTATCTTTTTATACGCACGATAAGCTATTTCGGGCTCAGTAAGCACTAATCATTGTTCATCCTGGCAATTTGTCGAGCATATGTCTAATTTCAAGGTGAAAGATTGCAAGCAATAATAAAGAGGGACATTTACATAATCAACTCACTTGGCAAAATAAAATTCATCTAGTAGCTTTCCCTACAGACGCAGCGCAACTATGTCTCCAGAAACGTACCTCCTTTATCCATTTTAGTTTGTCAATGTTATTTTTTTTTATTTTTTCGTTCTTTTTATTTCAGCCACTGTTAGCAAATATCGCCGGGTTATTTGCCATCTGTCTCAATAAAATTGAAATTAACGTCGTTGTTGTGAATAAGTCGGTTTATGTAGACTTTCCTAGCATAGTAATGAGTACATTTGCCAGGCTAGGAACAATTAGAGTCCCCTTTTTTTAAGATTTTAATCAAAATCGAATACTAAATACAAAATTCAAAAGTTTGAATGATAGTTTGACCGTGGAGGGCATACCCATTCTTTTGATGTGGCGGAAACCGGTGTTTTGCATATCTTAATATTATTGCATGAACTTGCACTGATAATCGATGACAAAGAAAGGAACTTCCATGAAAAAGCTTTAGCTTCCTAGATAATTTTGCTTTAAAAGTTGGCCTTAGTTTGAATTCATGACGTTTCTTTAATTTTTATAATAATAATCGGTTTTGTCCGACGCCGAAATGTCGATGTTTTCTACGTCCGGTGGTTTCAACGCGTTTATTAATAGCTGATGTTTTGTCAAATGCAGTCTTCAGACTTAAGAAAGCGGAAAGAATCACTTGAACCGCTCCGAAAACTTTAAAGTAAATTACGTTGCGGTGATTTGGGGCTGTTTCTCTCTTCCGTTGTTTAAAAAAAGAAAAAAAAGACAAAAGTCAATCCATGTGAACTTTGAATTTTCAATGGTCAAACAATAATTTCTGTTATTTTACTTGAATTCATTACTGATATGAAACGATGGTCAACGTATCAGCTGACCTATCATGGCGTGTCACCATATTGTACGTAAAAAATAGGTGTTCTCTAATCTAGAGCAGAAATATCCAAATTATCCTTTGTATCGTAGCCAAACGCGTGAAAATGTATATCGAAACTATTTGACCATTTTCCTTTCGATCCTAATTAGTCTCCAGGGCAGTCAGAAATTTTTGAACGAGGAAAAAATGTTTTGTGACAGGCCTCAAGTGAATGAAAAAGGAGTGGCCGCCTGTTCTCACGCCACACTTGGAGGTGATAAACCACTTGAGTTCTTTAGCCAAGGTACAAATAGTTAACCTCGTGAAATAACTTGAACATCTTGTTACATAACTTGGGCGGAGACGTTGAATAACGTGTTTGTGACCTTAATGCGCGTGCATATATCCAAGGTCGCACATTTCGTAAACTCAAGTAGTAAACATGGTTTCTGGAATCCTTCGACATCATTTAACTTTGATACTCTCAAGAAGTTGTAAAAAAAATCTTTGAAAACTTGGCCAAACATATCTGACTGCCCGCCAGTTGATCGATTCAAGACCAGACTTGGCTCCGATCATGTGGTCACAGCGTAGTGTGTAATGATTGATGGAATTGAGATATCGTCGGTGACTCAAATAATATTACGCGTGTTACTCTAATTATTCTATTTCTTTTCTCATCGAGCTCTTCTGAAAGCAGAGAAGACCAGAGAACACTTCATATTATTAGCGACGTGCTGTTCCTCAAATATCACACCAGAAATATCTGTAGTATAAGCAATACTTGAAAAGATCAATACTATAACACATATCATGATAACGGCTTCAATGAAAATGAGAGCAAATGAAGGGATTGTAATAATTAGTAGTTGTAGTGAACACTTGTAATAAAGTTGACAAAACTAATTCAGATATTCATCATGGACTGAGAAAGAAAAGTCAAGAAATATAGTCTACATTTGTATTGATTTTAACATTTGTAGGCATCATAACTATATGAAATAGACAATGATTAGAATGATGGATAATAAATTGGTTGAAGAAGGTTAAAAGAAGGCAACTATTTTGGTTTAAATAGTCTGTACGCGTGGTCTGCATTTAGGAGTGCCTGATCAAGGAATGGAATTAGGACGACAACCTTGCCATCAAGCACTTTTGAAGTGTCAAATACCAATGTATAGCTCAGTTTTATCGCTCTTGATTATTGAAATAAATGTATTAGATAGAATTTCTCAATGCAAGCTGATTTTCTCAGAAATTTTATTTCTCTTCATGCATCTGATGAGGGAAAATATTTTTCTGGGGGTCAGAGATGTACCATGCAATACATACATACATACATACATGCATACATAAGCTTTATTTATCCTCGGATTTCAGTGTAGCTTACAAGCTAGTATCTCCGATCCTAATTACTAATATTAAAAGTTACAGCAAGAACAAGGCTAAAAAGAGAAAAAATAATTCATAACATAATAATATAATAATATAATAATATAATAATATAATAATCATTAATATAATAATATAATGCAGTATTGTGCACTAACAGTTTGCGCTTAAATTCGGCGCAATTACCGAGCTCAACATTCTGACCAACAGGAAAAAAAAACTGTAATAGCTCTAAGGATTAACCGACATTTTTACCATTTAATCTTGAATCCCATTAATAACTTATCTCAAATTCTCACTCTTCACCTTACGCAATTCTCACGAAATTGCATTAGGAGGTCAATGATGTACTCTGCAACTACTACGAAGCTCGAAATTTTAGGCAACAGGAAAATCATAATTTTGTTTTGTTTCACAGCTCTGAAGATTAATTAGCTAAAATTTCACCATTTAGCAACGGATACCATTTTAAAACATGATGGATACTGTATCTCTGAGATACAGTATCAGCAAGCTATTGGGATACAGATGCAAGTGTGTGTTGAGCTTTCTCCTTCAATAATCGTAATCCCTGATATTCTTTCCATGCTCATTCCGCCTTAGTGAGCTATCTTGAATGAAGATAACACGAACATTTAGAATAGGTTGTATTCCTACGTCACATAACTCAAGTGAAAGATATCCCCAGATGAAAAAGTAAGCTCATCGAATGCTTTGACATAAAACAGTTCATCGGTACATGCTGTACATTTATTTATCGATTTATGATATGATTCCTCAGGCCTCTGCATTTTATGCTCTGATCCGCTATAATATTAGTATGCCACTGATAGCATATGCAGTCATAAGGTATATGCGCTTTCGCTTTTTCAAAGGTAATAATGAAATGGAGAGGATTGAGGGTTCTTTTGTAACAACACACCGAACAAAAACTCTCTAGAATCAAAGAGAAGATCTCTAGCATCTTATGGCATCTACTCGATGGCAGATAGAAGAAGACATGATGTTAAAGTAATTTATTTGTAATTGGTTTTAAACGTTTCACAAATTCTTCCTCTAAATCATACAAAGTTCGCGCTAAAAAAATTCTTGCTATTCTGTTAAGAATATCGTCTTTCGTTTCCACGGAAGAGTGGTGTCTGTTCAAACAATACGTCAGTTCCCCATGCTAACGTTTTTCATCCAGGATCTTAAGGTCATTAGAGATTGAACAGACAGTTGTGTCTCTCCTGCCTATTCTATTAAGGTAGTGCATCAGAAGGAAAATATTTCCATGTCAATATTCATAGTTATTCATGCGACTGACAAAATGAAAGTGATCACTTTTAGGCCTCTATTGCGATGAAAATTTGTACTTTAAAACACCTATAAAAATCGCTATTTAACCTTACACCATTTAATCACAAATCCCATCACTGAAGTCGAAACCGATCACAATTTCTTCCTGAACGCTACACGCAATTCTCACGAACTCGCACGGCCTTGAAAAAATTATTGTTATCCAGTTAGGTATATCATCCTTCTAACAAAACAAAAGTTTCCCTTGCTTACGTTTAAGAATGGAACTTTTTCGGTAAAATCCTATAAGATATATTTTGTGCAATTTTAACTGCGTTTGAAAACTTTCTGGACATAACTTACCGAGGATTGGCCGAAACGGTAATCAATTTAACGGGTCACTCTCGACGATCATTCTGGAAGAAATTAATACAATAAGTGTTGTGTCTGGCGATAACGGAAGTACTTCCTCAACTTTAAGGGGCATTAATGCATAGAACATGTGCGCACGCAACCCTGTCAGCTTCTTATAACTCAGCAGAAGGTTGAGCGCGATCAGTTTTGACAAAACCTTGCCATTATGCATTTTTTCGCAGTGTTTCTAGGTGATAGCGTATGCAACACCAAAAGAATGACAAGAAGAGGTATTCAACAAGGAACGGGTATGTGAAATCTGGCTCTTTGATGAACAATCGCATCTCAAAGAGACTTTCGTCGAAAACTGAATCAGTCCTTAGATCCAATACTTACTGTCTCGAATATAGGACTTTTGCACATCTACATCATTTAACCCTAATTTCTAACCCATTGAGGTTGTATGCGATTCTTAAGCTTGCAAACAGCAAGAACTTTCGAAAATTCCTTTCTGTATTATCAAACGTAATGTAATGTTACAAACTCTCAATTTTTTTGCATTTCACTTTGTGCAAAATCCGGATTTCAAAATCTAAATCGAGATTTCTCGATCGAAAGCACCAATACCTTGTTAAGTTCTGTCGGTTGTCCATTTCATTCTGTAACGTGCGCGGCACTGAACATTAAATATCATAGCTTGAATGACTTCACTACGCACGATGTCTTCTTCTCTTCAGGTGCAGCTCTGCTGCTCTTGGCACTTTTCGCGAATTATCAAATTATACCATCAACCAGTGCAGCTCCAATAAATTGCCAGAAGAACACTGCTGTCTGCTTAGAAGAAATTATGAAGGAACTGACCCAAGTTCGATTTGGGATTAAAATTCTCACGGAGAACAAAACATTGGTGAGATGTAAGTGAGACTCTTTTTCTAATTGAACTGATTATTCCATTTTAACTTTATCATTATATTATGTAGCATGAAAAACGGTGGTCTTATGCATGGCGATTTCAATTCCTTTCTTGAGGAATCATTTCGCCAGTTTGGATGACAAAATTTCCTGCATGCTTGGAGCTCTTATCTTCCGCAACTGTCTTTCCTGCAGTGTTGCTGAACATTGACAACCGAATAATTTAAATGCTCTAAACTTTTCTTGAATTGAGTTATTTGTCGAGTTTTTTCATAGTTACTTTTTTTTTAATCCTTGTGTTATAATTTGATGCGCTTTTTAAAGATAAAAGATTTATGAAGAACTCAAGTCCCGTCGTCTTCTCTCCACGACAGATACTTCGTCCGATGATAGAAGCACATTCATATCAAACTCCCTGTTTTAGAGCATGCACACAACATCAAGCATCTTTATTTTATCTTCAATAGCTAAAAACTGTGCTGAGCTGTACAAATCCGGTCGAAGGATCAGCGGCGTTTACACAATCGACCCAGATGGTTCAGGCGCCTTCGATGTATATTGTGACCATACAACAGCTGGTGGGGGATGGACAGTGATCCAGAAGAGAATGGATGGCTCCGTTGATTTCAACCGCACCTGGAATGAATACAAACATGGCTTCGGTAACTTGGTCGGTGAGTTCTGGCTCGGACTGGATAAAATAAACCGTCTCACAAGAAACAAGACAAAAAACAAGCTTCGAGTAGATCTGGGAGTAAAAAATGGGAAAACTTTTCACCCTGAGTATAGCTGGTTTGGCATTGGAAACGAGACAGCTGAGTACAAGCTGCACATTGGCAATTTTATAAGTAAGTAACCCGTTTTTTTGGCATTCATTTTTCGATTCTCATATATTACTTCTCCCTCACTTAAATCTTAAAATCAATTTTACTCCACTTTGTCAATAGTGGTATTATCAAATGGCAAGGTTCTCCAGAGGTAAACCTGAACGTTCTGATTGGCTCTTACTAGTCGGGATTTTGGTCCGAGTGCCACATAATAAACTATTTACTAACTTTATTTTTTAATTTTTTTTTAATTCTTTTTTCTTTTTCCCCCTTTTTTTCTCTTTTTTTGGCGGAAAACGACAAGGTTAAAGCTATGATGGCATTTTACGGATCCTAGAATTATGTGAATCTCTTTTGTTTTGTTTCAAAACAGACGCCACTGTTTCCCCCGATTCCCTAAGTCCTCACGGAGATTTCGTTTTCGGTACCTGGGATAGGGATCCCGCTGGTTGTACTCAAAAAAGAGGTGGAGGCTGGTGGTATGGCAACAGTAGTAAATGTGCTGTTTGGTAAAATCTCAATGGTATTTATCCGCGTTGTGGATATAAAACCTGGGCCAATATTCACTGGGGAAGATTAGTTCTTACCAGTGCCGCGAGAAGCGCTCTAACTTCAACTGAAATGAAGATTAGACCAGTAAAATTTATGCACGAGGCCTAAAGTCTACATAAATGAAGTAGTTTGTACAACAGGAAAACACCGATTATTTTTTTCAATCTCTTTAATTCAAGAGGTTCTGATTTTTAGAATACGCAAATTAGATTAATGGCGGCGTCATTGATTCGACCACATTTTCGTATTAAAGAAAATTTATCGCAGCCAGTTGGTATCAGAAATATCTCATTATTCGCAGACTTTTTGATTTTGTTTGCAATAATACGAGTAAAATACCACCACACATAATTTAAGGAAAAGGTTTTTTTTTTTTTTATCACACCAAATTTAATTCAGAAGAATTCTAATGGAACGCCACATGTCATGAGATAGAGTTTATATATGTTTTGTTCTTAATACAATTGGTCTTATCTTTTCTAATGATTTTTTAAGCTTTGCTATTTTTATGTGCTATCATTAAATATTAGATCGCAAAAGGTACCTTAGAATGTAAGTTTTTATTTTGTGAAGAGATACACACTGCTTTTACATTATTTCTACAGCTATATAAAACACAACTATCTCTTAAGTTGCCCTGGGAATCGAATTGTCGCAGACCTTCTCCTATGCTCGAGCATTTCTAGGCCTACAATGGTTTTTCATATCTATATCTTCAGTATAGCTTCTTTCGCATGATCTGACAAATAGTAAAGGTATCGAAGTCTACTTTCGGGCCTGATGCAACCGCTTACTTTCATAAAAGTATAGTTTACCATGTTTCAATGGCTGTTGCAGCATATTGACTGATTAGATTCTTCATGTAAACAAACCCACAAAAACAATTATGTCCCAAACTAGGATAGACATTCGCAAATGGAAATGTGATGATTCATCTCTTACGGAATTCTTTAATGATATACTTAACATTTCAAAGGGTGAAAATTTGATTAAGGTGGCAGACAAGAGAACATACCCTTGTTGTCTGCACACTGTTCTAAAGAATGATGAGACGGCCTATAGTGGAAAATGAAAATTCTTGAATTTCTCTCTCAAAGTCACAAAGTCTTTTTCCTTGATAACGAACTTGAATTTGAGTGATAAAATCCGGATTGTTGCCATGTCCGCAGAGGCTGGTAGTTCAGTTGCGAAACAACGTTCGTTTACGGTGATATGTTTTCTGGTATGGAATAAAGACAAAAATTGGTAAAATATATTTTGTTCGCGCTTATGACTTTCTACAGCTAGGAAAGAACTCCTGGTATTTTATTAGTTTATTAAGTGCATCATCAAGCCCACTGTGAATGAATGACAAGGTTTCAGTCAGTCTTCTTAACGCCCAATGTATACGAGATAACTGCTAGTTTGTCTAAAGAGATATCCTCTTTAAGATTTTGGTCAAATGGGCTGCGATTTCATTAAAACTATTTGATCATCTGTCCCTCTAGCTCTGCATGTTTTCAAGAAAGTCTATGTATTTGTTGAAGCAAATAGAGCGCTTAATACAGGGATCATAAAATAATACAATATTTCGCTGTTTTCTCTCCCTCCGTAAAACTGATAAGACACTTGAGCTTGTGGAGTGAATTGGTACGTCAGGATTGTTTGTCAGTAATATGGTGAGACCGTGTGAGACAGTACTACTGCGTTAAACCAATAAAGCTAACGGAGCCTTTGAATATCACATTGTGGGATCGGTGAATGAGCTGCAATTTCGTGCGTATCGTATGAAATATAATGATTACTGATTGATTTATTCATACTTATTCAAGCTACAGATTTTTACAAGTGAAGGTTTTGGCGGAGACATTTAACATTATCAGAAAGGTTAAATGTTTCCGCCCAAGTTATTTGAAGAGAAGTTGAAGTGCAACAAATTTCAAGAAAGAAATCATTGACCTAATTATTTCTGTGTTACAACATGGCAAATCTAGTTTTGAACAGACATGTCATCTCCATCCTCGCACCCCGCAATGTTTTGCACGTGCACGTACTTTTCTTGTAGTTTCTTTTTTTATCTATCTTTTTTTTTTTTTTAAACAAAATTTGATCCGCTTCCGGTGGGATTTAGATAAGACACCCTGTCGAAGGTAGTGACCGAAGATTCGTCGATGAAATGATCTTTTTTCGACAATCTTCAGTCTGAAATTTACACATGAACGTTATAGGAAATGTCTCGTATCAGGAGTAGTTCTCCGAGAACTTCGGAGAAAATAATTCAAGCAGCTTTAGCCGTCAGTTGTTTCTTTTCTTGATTTGAAGGGTGCCCTCTAGCTTCTTTTTTTTCCCACACAAGAGCAACCTTGTTCACAATGACTTGTCCATAAAAAATATCGTTTTGAAGTCAAAATAAGGTTTTTTTTATCAGAGTTTTCCGGACTCAAGACTGCATGCCGAGCAGACTCGTTTGGGATAAATACCCTTGGAGTCCTGGTCGATATCATTTTAAATTAAACCAAAAGCTCTATTTTTAATGAGCTATTGTTATTCTTATATAACAGCAACTTGCCATCGAAAGGGCAGAATGTGCTTATAAAGGAAATATGATCATCCAGGGGCTGAAACCAAAGATTAAAGGGCCTTTAGGTATAAGAATTCGATAGCCAACGGAAGCTTAACTGATTCATTTATGAAGCATTTGATATTTCAGTATATGTTTATTAGCGGTCTGAACCATCTTCTTTGCCCCGCCAGATACGGATGTGTCAAAATGGCTGCAAGGTAATTTCTTTTGCTTTATTAGAACAGTCAATTAAATAGAGAGGTGCGAGGTTTCGTTCGAAACAACTCGTGATCAAAAATGACCGTGTTTAAAAGACGAGTTTGTTAAATAACTGACGACGATCACGTAATGGTGAAGGAAATTTCAAGAAATGTAGTTGCAGGAATAATAACATTTTAGTGATTTTAGCATTGCTAGGCATCATTAATGAGTTTGAGTAGAATTTAATCGACGGATTGACAAGAACTGATCGAAGTAGCCCATGGTTAGGGTCCCCATAAAATTCCCTACATTGCCTTTTCTTACCTTTTCCTTTATCTTTAAGGCTTAGAATCTATGCATTTCATTCCTCTTATCCATTGAGCTCAACTCGCTTAATGCTCATCTGTTTCATTTCCATTAATGACTCGAAATCGTCGCCTACCGTTTGATCACGAAGCAGTTAAACTGCATACTTATTGAGATACGAATGCCTCAGATTTTGGAGACACATTACTCGTGTTAGACGTGGAAACAGAGAGAGAGAGAAAGTACATTTGTTGAAATAACATGTACGTATAGTCTGTCTTCAAGAGTGGCAGATGAAAGAACTGATGCACTACATCCAATTAAAATTCTAACACGCTGAACAAGAGGAAAAATCATAATTATAGTTTGTCTAGTTGCTCTTAAGATTAGCTGACACTTTCATCATTTAACTATAAATCCTATTATTGAAATCGATGAAATACCCACATTCTCATTCTACACTATCGCAGTTCTCACGAACTCGCAGTCTTCAAACAAAGCAAGGGCTCTCCGCAGTTCTCTCGAACTTGGAGTCTTTCAACAAAGCAAGGTCGGCCGGCTCTTTAAAGTTGTTGTTGTCCAGTTAGGAATGTCGTCTGTCACTGCCAGCAAAGTGATATTGCTGGTTCACCAAATTGTTCATTTTCCCTGCAAAACTTTGAGAATGGAAAGAGCGATATCAAAATACATTTTGCAGAATTTTAACCGCGTCTGACCACAATTCGGTCATTACTGACCAACGACTGACAAAGACATTGAGCATCTAAGTTATCATGGCTTTCGTCTTCTACATTTTCGATAAACCTAAAGCGTAAGCTCTGTCTCTGGTCATAAGAATTTCTTACCTTTCCCAAATTGACAGCAAAAGAGATATGTTTGTTGTTTCTTATCACAAATAAGGCGCACAGGGCAACATGAGACGCACTTTTCTTGTACGGAGTGGGAAGAGGGGGCTCTAAAGGGTAATAGGATAAGCCAGTGCACTCGGCATTTGATAGAGACCCATCAGTCTCGGCAAAACCATACCATCATACATTTTCTGATTTTCTAAATTTCCTTTCTGCTTCGTAGTCTTCTTCATCTTTTTCGGTCGTCACCTAAAAGAAACAATGTTTTTTTGCAATGTTTTTGGATAACACTGCATCCAACAACCGCGGCAATCGAATACGTGTAGGTTATTACATCTGGGTCTTTGATATAACATTTGTAGACTGTATATAATTGAATTGTAAATGTAAAGTGTATTTTCTTGAAATTTCTGGCAACCTTACTAACGGTGATGTACACACGCGAACTTCTGATATTATACCAAGGAACATAAAACTTCCCACAAGGTTATGTAATTAATATGTACTTCTGCCCCTGTAGTTGTGTTATGGGCTTGTAATGGAATGTTCTAGATTGCTTTTTTCAAGTATATAAGGACTCAGTCATCTAGGAGTAGTAAGTATCTGTTGTCGGCAAAGACCGACTGTCTGGAACGTCCCACTGAGACATCTACTGTGAGATACTTCGAAGACTGAGCATTTCGAAGAGATTTAAAGACAGCGAGTTTGTGGCAGTGGTAAACTAAGTCTGTAGTTGCTGAAAGTAATTTCTTTCAAGGATAATTGTTGTATTTTCGATAGGAGTCGCTCCTTGATAATAATTATTACACGTTGTTTGATAAAAATAGATGGGTTTGTAGAAGCCAGGAGTGCCTTCTGCCGCTTAGATTATACTGCAACATTTTTGTAACCATAAAACTTTCATGAAGCATTGGTGGCATTTTGCAGAGTTATTGAATATTTCATTTGTAGCCTCTTTGAACTTTCCAGATCTCGGTTCGCTTCATCAGATAACGAAACAGAGCTGATTACTAAATGACGAGGAGTAAGGTTTCTTTAGAAACAACTCAACAGAGGACATCTCTGTAGAATCAAAACATGGGATCCTCATAGAGCTCATGACATTCGCTTACTGGCGCCGAGGTCAAGACAAGTTGTTTAAATAATATAGTTGTGAGACGCTGGGTATTTTTACATAAGTGTGGGAGATAATTGAATCGGTGAAATAATTGGTGGCCGTGTTTTCAAGTCGCCAGATAAAATTATAGTAGTAAATTTGTATGAGCAATTTGAGAGGAACGCGCACGCAAACAAATAAATTCGTAGTTATAGCGGGACCTAGATGCATACTGTAATCAAATATGGCATAACACTTTGTATTTTCAAACTTGGAAGGAATAAAACTCTCCTTGAAAGGTTGGCTGGTGGATAATTTTAGGAAGAGAAGCTTTAGAGATCTGGAGACGCATGATTATTCACCTTTTTTTAACGCGAGTGATTGAGATAGACCGCCTGCTCTGTTTCTGATGTGACAGCTTAATCAGATTACTTTCAGTAAATTCTTTTTCCTCAGGGGAAATAAGTTGCATACTGATTCAGTTAGTGGCTTGAACTTGACTCCAATTAAATTTTACTCTGCTAACTGCCTTAATATCAGGTAAGGTTGGAAGAGCGACCGGTCTTACAAGATTTCCAGGTGTCATATGCTGAACAACTTGAAGTTTTTATTATTTCACACTGTTTACAGAAAAAAATAACTTAACATGATTTGTAATGATATAAAAAAATTACAAACAGAAATTAACTAGAAGAAAGAATATTTAATCGTGTACAGTGACCAAAGTAGCCGATGCGCTTTCGAGTTGGTCACTGTCGTGTGTAGATATGAGTCGGGGTTGGCCGCATGTTAAGTGTAATTTAAATTAATAGTTATATTAAAGACGATATTGTTATCGTAAGAGAAGAAAGACATACGTAAATGCAAGTTAGAGTAGAATGAAAACTGCATATTGTGAATCATTATCTTATATAGCTAACAGTTAAATTATGGTCAGTTTTGAGTACTAAGAAGAAATCTGTTATACCGCTTTTCAAATAACGTTTAAAAACGTTTAAATTCAGGTGGTGCAGATTCCCAGATTTTTTTATCGCAGAGAATTTAAATGTAGACATACCATAGTTAGCGCGTACTGATGGCTTAAAGAAATTTTGATTTGCAACATACCTGGTATTATATGAGTGAATCTCTGATGCAGGTGTGGGAATATTCAGTAGTGCCGCTGGAGTGTTACTTTTGTCTTTCTTTAGTTTATATGTAAAAAGTGATACTTTTAGTCTGTAAATATTTTCAAGTTTCAAGATTCCAAGAAGATTATAATAGGGGTTGACATGTTATCTGCCATGAGCAAAGAGCATGCCCCGTATACATCTATTCTGCTTAGTGCGGATTTTATTTAATCTAGTTTTGTGAGCAGCACCTCAGCTGGCTAGACCATAGTTTAAGAATGGATAAATAAGGGTATAAGTTTTGAACACATCAGGTACTATACCGTTTGCGATAGATTGGTTATAGATATATGTAAAGGGTATTGATAATGGCTCAGAGGCAATTTTAATAAATTAATTTGGAATATCTAGTGAAGTTTTATTTTGATTCAGATTTTGGTAAAGCGTACAAACTTGAGACTGGCGACCTATTAATGTATTTGGTAGGGGCCCCGACAGGGGACATGATAAAACTTGAGACTGGTGACTTATTAATGTATTTGGTAGGCTCCTCATTGTAATGATCAATGGTGCTTGCCAGGCTTGGTCCTACACTAATAAAATACTTGTTGAATTCTTCTGCAATGTCTAATTTATTAGTAAAAGTCTTATTATTCATTGTAATTCTTGAAGGTAGAGATTGTCCCTTTGTTTTCCGTTTAATTAAAGTACCGATTAGTTTCTATGTAGCTTTCAAGTTATTCCTGTGTAGGCTACAATAATAAACCTTTTACTGACGGTCTTTAAGTGGTTAAGTTTATTAGTATATTTTTTACATTCTGCTATTTTTTAAAAGTTATTTGAGAGAAAGTGTGTTCTATACATGCTTATTTTTGATAGATTTGAGTATACCATTAGTTATCCAAGGCTTACTACACTGCTTCTGTTTACTTTGGGATATTTGTTTCCTTGGTGCATGTCTATTAACAATAAGGTGAAGAGTACTTATGGACTTACCTGCAATTCATTTAGGTCATTGCTTTCAGTGTAAATACTATTCCCGTCAATTGCTTTAATATCCTGTAGGTATACTTCTGAATCAAATCGCCTGTAGTCTCTATAACATATCTGAAATGTTTGTTTTTGTTCTGATATATCAACAATACGAAAGGTTGGCAGATGATCCGAGATATCTATTGCAGCAATTCCAGATATCATTTGGTTAGTGATTGTTCTAAAGCATTTGATAGTATTCGACACGACATCTTGTTATCCAAGCTACAAAATCTCGATTTTTCCCAGGGTGCGTTGAATTGGTTTCAGAGTTACCTTTCTAACCGACAACAGTGCGTTCGAATAGGTGACGCAGTTTCTAAAGTACTCCCACTTGATTTCGGAGTTCCGCAAGGCTCTATTTTAGGTCCGGTTTTGTTTACAATCTATGTTAACGACCTCCTTTCTGTTCCTAAACGTTGTCTATCTGCCTCCTATGTTGATGACTGTAAATTGTACTTGTCCTTTTCACCTGCCGAATTACCCACGTCCATCCTCGCCTTAAACGAAGATCTTACGAGAATATCTCAATGGTGCTGTAAAAACTCTCTTTTGATTAATCCGGACAAAACTAAGGTTCTAGCTGTTGGATTACCACAACTTTTAAAGAAACTGTCATCATTCAGTATAACACTTTTTGACAAGGAAATAACACCTGTGCCTGTCGTTAAGGACTTGGGTGTTCTTCTCGACACACACCTCAGTTATAACCAACATATCACTGAGATTGCCTCTAAATGCCTTTTTAAATTGTACCAAATTAACAGAATCAAACACCTCCTGGATAGGAAAACACTTCTGTTAGTAATAAATTCTTTTGTCTTTAGTAAACTCCAATATTGTTCAACTGTCTGGAGTAATACCAGCAGCAGCAATATTGACAAGTTACAAAAAGTCCAAAACTTTGCCGGGCGAATTATTCTGGGACTAAGAAAGTATGACCATATTTCGGATGGGTTGCGATCGTTGAAATGGCTTCCTATTAGAGAGAAACTCATTCTAAATGACGCTACTATGATGCACAAATGTATTAACAAGCTTGTTCCAGACTATCTTGCTGATATGTTTAAATCACGTTCTCAAGTCCATAATAGACAAACTCGATCATCTGGTGCTTTGGATATACCTTTATGTCGCCTGTCAACAGGGCAGCGGTCCTTTGCTTTCAGAGGAGCCAAACTCTGGAACTCCTTGAACGATAACATTAAGTCTTTAAAATGCCCCAGGAATTTTAGACGTCATCTTGCAAACGTTTTATTAAGTTGATATATTATATTATTGATATATATTTTGTAATTATAATATTATTGTATTTACATTCTCAATTAATTTATATATTTGTATTTTTTTTTTTCTATTGAGCTGAAAAGCCCACTTAGGGAGCATCAATAAAGTATATGTATATGTATATGTATATAAGCATTAGAAAAAATAGCTCGCTAATGTTTATTTTCCTCAAGAAAGAATTTGTAATCAATAATTGAATGAAAACAAATAAGATTTCGTTGAAGGATTGAATTTTTTTGCAATGTCATAGTTACTCGTGCAACTGACGTAAGGAAATCAATCATTTATAAGCCAGTGACGTATTATCCAAGACTACTCTAAGATATTAAACATTAGAAAATATTTAACAAATTAGCCTTATTTTGTGACTTTTAAGATTACGTGAAACAAGGCCTTAATTATATATCATTTCAGACTACGGCATATCGAAGATTAAACACTTTTTCATCATTTAATCACGCATCTTATGATTGACAACGAAGCTTATCACAAATTCTGCCACTGCGCTATACCTAGATCTAACGATCTCGCCCGTCTTCAAACAAATAAAGGATGGCCCTAAACATATTTTGCTATCCAATTAAGAGTGCAGCCTTTCAGTGCCACGGAAGTTAAGTGTCTGCTCCAAAAAAAAAAAACCGTTAGTTCCTTGCTCCCTTTAAAGAATGGAGAATTAAATTTAGAAATATATTTCAAGTTTAGCGCCATGTTAACCGTGCTCCCAGTGTCAACATTAATTGAATAGACAGTTATTGCTCTCTTGCCTATTATAACAATTTACTGCATCAACAGGAATGTATTTACACAGCAATATTTACAGTTGATATATACCTCACAAGTGACTAGTGCTTTTCGTGCGCGCTGACTATCTAGGCCATTTCAACTCAGAGCAGCCGATGAGACAAAATCGTGCGTCAAGAGTTTATTTCCGACCATTTTCCGGTTGTTGAAAGAAATGAAGTAATCTTTTGGTATCTGTTTTGTATATAGTAAGATAACTTTTCACCTCAGTTTCGGTGAAATGGTGGATATTTAACTCTCCAGTATATTAAAGATTATAACCCACATATTTATTTTCGCACGATTCCATGATGCAAAACACCGGGCATTTATCACACAATGATCCTTGAATGCGTCGATATTTGTCCTCCGATTAAATTCAGCTTAAGAGTTTCCCTTTTTGTCTTCATTACTTAACACGATAGAAAAAACGAACTAATTTTCTTGAGTCCACTGAGTGATATGAAAATTTAAGTAAAAAAAAAAATACAATATTTTAATTTTAAAACCGTATGATTTCAGAATTTCAAAAGTTTTCAAATCAAATGTGGCTGCAATTTTTCTTTACATATCATATTAGTACACATTCGTTTAGCGTAGTTTTGTCAAAATTCGTCCACAGTTTATTACATTTACTGGGCGATGTAAAACTTTCACTTGGTTTTATTTTGATTGAGACCGTTTTCATTCTGTGTGTCTTAGCATCAGTTCATTTAACCAAAAACGCGACACAGCAATTTCTAAAATATTATAGGAAAAGCACTACTCTAAGGTTGGTGTCATTTGCATTTAAGTTTCTCGATACGATAGGGTGAGAATTAAAATTATGTGAATAATATATTGAATATTTCTTGGGTCAAAAATAATTTTTTCGTATGCAGAGAGTTTTAAAAGCTTATTGATTTGTAGTAATTAGATTTGTGACAGAGTTCCATTCTCAAGACCGCCGTACCCCATAGGTCAGTTCCCCGCATAAATTACATTTGTATACATACTTCTGAAATATTTTTGGATAGAGACCGAGACAAATCCATTAGACTATATATGGGCCAGTAGTAGATATCTTATCTTGTTCAAATTTCTAACTTGCCGCATCATTGTATAAGAAGGAATAGATCATTCAGAAATCATATATTTCAAAAATGTTGATACTCAGGGAAATCCAGAGCGTGTGCTCAGGCCACAATTAGCGGATTAGCAATATCCTCCCTTGTTTCATCACATTCCTGACACGTAATCTTTATTTAGCAATTCATTTCACGAACGCAAGTGGCTTATCAGTTTTACGCGTAGAGAGAAAACCACCAACTCTTCTCGTATTTTAGTTTCCCTACCACAAACACTTATATCAGTTCCAACAAGAGTCAGACTCTCCTGCAAAATTGTAGAGCTCGAGGTATAAATGGCAAATTAGTTTTAAAGAAGTCTCAACGCATTTGACAACAATCGGAAAGAGGAGATCTTTTCAGACAAGCTAAAAGTTATTTCGGGCACAATGGGTGCTGATAAGACTGACTGAAACCCTGACCTTCATTCACGGTGGGCTTAATGAAAACTAATTACAAAATACCAGAAATTCTGTCGCTAGCTGTAGAAAGTTATTCGTGCGAAAAAAAAAAAGTCGAATTACCAGTATAATTTCAGTTATATATAGATTCGCTTTATTTATTTATTTATTTTTTTAATTATTTTTTGTTAAGTTTACTGTCACAGAATAATGTGTCTTTTGGCTTGACAGTCCCGGGCACGCTGCATTAAAATAAACTTTAGAAAGTCGCACAAAGCTTTTGAAGTATATATATTCCGAAAATAACAAAAGTTTTAACATATATGTTTCAGCGGGCACACCAAAGCCTCTAAACAGAAAATTGACTGTGTTTTCTACCAGCCTCTGTCTACCGCGGACATTTAAACAAACTGGACTGTATCATTCAAGTCCAATTAATTAAAATAAAAGGGATGAAAAAATAATTAAAATAAAGGAAAACGGCAGTGTGAATTTGAGAAAGAAATTAAGAATGTTTCATTTTTCACTTTCATTAATTAGCTGTCTCATCGTTCTTTAGAACGGTGTACAGAAAACTAAGGGTAAAGTGAGAAGGTATGTTCTCTTGTCTGTCAATCAAATTTTCAATCCTCGAAATTTTTAAGTATATCGGAAAAGAATTTCATAAGAGATTAATAAAAACACTTCTTACTCTGGGACATAATCGTTTTTGTCACTCCAAGCGCACGAAAGTATTTAAAAGGAGTTATCTAGCTCAATATGCTTCAAAGACCTTTAAAACATGGTAACTAATACTTTTACGCAAATGAGCGGTTACACCATGCCCGGAAGTGGACCGCGATACTTTAACGTGTTCGTCAGATCAAGCGAAAGATCTTCACTGAAAATATCAAATTGAAAACCATTTTAGGCCTAGAAATGCTCAAGCACAGGAGGAGGTCTGCGACAAGTGGATTCCCATGGCAACTCAATCGATAACTGTTTTATATAGATGTAGAAATAATGTAAAGCAGTCTTTATTTTTTCACAAATTATAAACCCACATTTTAAAG